GTACAACACAGTGGTTCAACAGTTACCCCTGTAATTAAATTCACACTGCCTCCAGTGCGGTTACTATCAACGTACAAAGATGTTATAGAATCAGTGGCTATATTCTCCATGCAATACTACCGTCCCCGTGATCAACTTATATTGTGATTGCGAATTATTGTGCTCCTTAATCCCCCTCAACTTCCCTTGCACCCACCCCAATGCCTTCTCCTTGGTAACCACCAGTCACTTAGTGTCTATGAGTCTACTGCTGTTTTATTATGTTTTGCTTTGTTTTTATATTCTACAAATAAGTGAAATCATACGGTATTTGTCTTTCTCTGCCTGGCTTATTTCAATGAGTATAATACCCTCTAGATCCATCCGTGTTGTTGCAAATGGCAGGATTTCTTTTCTTTTTATGGATGAATAATATTCCATTGTGTATATGTACCACATCTTCTTTATCCATTCATCTACTGATGGACACCTGCGTTGCTTCCATATCTTGGATATTGCAAACAGTGTGGTGATTAACATAGGGATGCATATATCTTGTAGAATCAGGGATTTTGTTTTCTTTGGGTAAATTCCTAGAAGTGGAATTACTGGATAGAATGATATTTCTAATTTTAGCTTTTTGAGGAACCTCCATACTACTTTCCACAGTGGCTCCACCAATTTACATTCCCACAAACAGTGCAGGAGGGTTCTCTTTACTCCACATCATTGCCTACAGTTTTTATTTCTTGTCTTTTGGATAGTGACCATTCTAACTGGTGTGAGGTGGTTTTGATTTGCATTTCCCTAGCAATTAGCAATGTGGAGCATCTTTTCATGTGCCTATTGGCCATTTGTATTTCTTCTTTGGAGAAGCATCTATTCAGGTCCTCCACCCATTTTTTAATCAGGTTATTTGCTTTTTGAGGTGTTAAGGCATATGAACTCTTTATACATTTCGGAAGTTAGCTCCTTATCAGATGAGTCATTTATGAATAAACTCTCCCATACTGTACCATGCCTTTTTGTTCTGCTGATGGTGTCCTTTGCTGTACAGAAACTTTTTAGTTTGATGCAAATTTGATGTAATCCCACTTGTTCTTTTTGGGAAAAAACTGCTCATAATAATGTCAAGAGATTTTTGTCTATGTTTTCTTCTGAGAGCTTTGTCATTTCATGATTTACATTCTGGTCTTTGATCCATTTTGAGTATACTTTTGTGTATGGAGTTAGACAATAATTTAGTTTCATTCTCTTACTGAAAGTTGTCCAGTTTTCCCAACACCAGTTATTGAAGAGGCTGTCTTTCCCCATTGTATATTCATGACTCCTTTATCATATATGCATGGGTTTATATCTGGGCTCTCTATTATGTTCCATTGATCTATGGGTCTAGTCTTGTGCCCATACCAAACTGTTTTGATTACTGTCACTTTGTAGTAGACTTTAAGTCAGGGAGTGTAATCCCCTAGCTTTGTTCTTCTTTCTCAGGATTTCTTTTACTATTTGGGCTTTTCTGGTTCCATATGGATTTTAGGACTATTTGTTCTAGCTCACTGAAAAATACTGTTGGCATTTTGATAGGGATTGCATTGAATCTGTAAATTGCTCTGGGCAGGATGGCCATTTTAACAATATTAATTCTTCTATCCATGAGCATGGCATACATTTCCATTTATTGATGTCTTCTTTAATTTCTCTCATGAGTGTCTTATAGTTTTCAGAGTATAGGTTTTGACCTCCTTGGTTAGGTTTATTCTAGGTATTTTTTTTGATGCAATTATAAATGTAGTTGTTTTCCTAATTTCTTTTTCTACTAGTTTGTTGTTAGTATATAGGAACACAACAGATTTCTGTGTATTAATTTTGTATCCTGCAACTTTCCTGAATCCAGTTAATAGTTCTAATAGCTTTTTTGGTGGAGTCTTTAGGGTTTTCTAGGTATATTATCATGTCATCTTCAAATTATGACAGCTTAACTTCTTTCTTACCAATTTGGATGCCTTTTACCTCTTTGTGGTATCTGATTGCCATGGCTAAGACCTCCAGTACTATTTTGAATAAAAGTGGTGAGAATGGTCATCCTTGTCTTGTTCCTGATCTTAGAGGAAAAACTTTCAGCTTTCTGCTATTAAGTATGATTTTGGCTGTGGGTTTGTCACATATGGCCTTTATTACTTTGAGGTTCATACCCTCTATACCCATTTTGTTGAGAGCTTTTAGCATGAATGGATGCTGAATTTTGTCAAATGCTCTTTCAGCACCTATTGAGATGATCATGTAGTTTTTATCCTTTTTGTTAATGGAGTATATGATATTGACTGATTGATGAATATTGTACCATCCTTGCATCCCTGGAATAAATCCCACTTGATCATAATGGATGATCTTTTTGATGTATTTTTAAATTCAGTTTGCTAATATTTTGCATCTACGTTTATCAGGAATATCGATCTTTAATTCTCTTTTTTTTGTGCTGTCTTTGCCTCATTTTAGTATTAGAGTGATGCTGGCCTCAGAATGAGTCTGGAAGTATTCCCTCCTCTTCTACCTTTTGGAATACTTTAAGGATGGGTATGAGCACTTCTTTAAATGTTTGGTAGAAATCAGCTGTGAAGCCATCTGGACCTGGAGTTTTGTTTTCCGAGAGTTTTTTGATTACCAGTTCACTTTGATTGCTGGTAATTGGTCTGTTCAGAGTTTTTTTGCTGTTTCTTCTCAGGTCAGTCTTAGAAGCTTGTATTTTTCTAGAAAGTTGCCCATTTCCTCTAGGTTGTCCAATTTATTGGCATATAATTTTTCATAGTATTCTCTAACAATTCTTTGTATTTCTGTGGCATCCACTGATTATTCCTTCTTCATTTCTGATTTTGTGTACTCTCTTTTTTTCTTGGTAAATCTATTTTGTTTATTTTCTCAAAGAACCAGCACCTGGTTTTATTGACTTTTTCTATTGTTTCATTCTTCTCTATTTTATTTATTTCTGCTCTGATCTTTATTATGTCCCTCCTTCTATTAACTTTGGGATTCATTTGTTCTTCATTTTCTAGTTTCTTGAATTGTGAGTTTAGACTGTTTATTTGGAATTGTTCTTGTTTCTTGAGGCAGGCCTGTATTGGTATGTACTTCCAACTTAGAACTGCCTTCACAACGTCCCACAGATTTTGTGCTGTTGAACTTTAGTTTTCATTTGTCTCCATGTATTGCTTGATTTCTATTTATTTTGTTCATTGGTCCACTGATCATTTAGAAGCATGTTGTTTAGCCTATGGGTGCTTGTAGGCTTTTTTGTTTTTTGTGTAATTTATTTCTAGTTTCATACCATTGTGGTCTGAGAAGCTGCTTGATACAATTTCCATCTTTTTTAATTTACTGAGGCTCTTTTTTGTGGCTTAGTATGTGATATGTTCTGGAGAACATTCCATGTAGACTTTAGAAAAACATTCCTGCTGTTTTTGGGCAGAATGTTCTGTAGATACCTGTTAAGTCCATGTAATATATTGTTCAGTGCCTCTGTTTCCTTATTTATTTTCTGTCTGGTTGATCTATTGATGTGTGTGGTATGTTAAAAGTTTCCTAAAATGAATGTGGTGCAATCTGTTTCCCCCTTTAATTGTTAGTATTTGTTTTACATATTTAGGTGCTCCTATATTGGGTGCATAGATATTTATAATGGTTATACCCTCTTGTTGGACTGACCCCTTTATCACTATGTAATGTCCTTGACTCCTGTTAATGACTTCCTTTGTTTTGAAATCTATTTTGTCTGATATAAGTACTATTACTTCTGCTTTTTTCTCCCTATTATTTGCATGAAATACCTTTTCCATCCCTTCACTTTTAGTCTGAGTATGTCACTGGGTCTGAAATGTTTGTAGGCAGCATACAGATGGGTCTTTGTTTCTTTATCCATTCTGCTACTCTATGTTTTTCAATAATTACATTTAAGGTAATTATTGATAGATGAATACTCATTGCTACT